ATTTTTGTTTGTGTATGCATTGCTCCAGGATATCAGTAAAGGTTAACAACTGAACATTCCTCCTGCTAAGAAAATAGGTGAGCGGGAAGGCGACTATCTATCTAAAAATCAGAATCCTATCAGAACAGTGTGACCACAAGAATGATCCTTGGGACAACTTTGGAACCACAATTTGATAGTTTACCAACCACTCATCATGAGTAGGTACTTCAGGTGGTGTCCTTTTTCACATAAAGACCCCATTTTTAAAATATATAACAAAATGTACTTCTGTGGCTTGAGGTTTGCTAGTTGCTCTCTGAAGCAGACAGGAATATATTTTTCCTGATCAATGACAAGTGATTGTGGTTTGTCAGTTTGATTCAAATAAAGAAAGTAAGTAATGAAAGAAAGGATCGATTCAATTGATCCAAGCAAGAAGCAAAGGTGACCCCTTCAAAAGCCTGAACAATACATATCTCAGTTAAAGGAATGATTTTTGATCAACATTATCAAAATCTTTCTTTGTGAAATACACAAACTGGGGATAAATCAGGGGAACTTTTCAGTCAGGTTTACTTTCTGCTCCAAACAAGATTTGTCAGTTACAGTTGATTAAAACACAACCTTATCTCCATTAGGTAGTTGCCTAATAATAAATTAGTACCCTCAATGTGTAAAAATGACCATCACAGTTGATGAGGCCAAGTCTGATGATATTTATAGAAATGGAGATGAAAAATAACAAAGCCACATTATACTACATGAATAAGAGTACTCTTATTAGAAAAGAAGATTTCTCAGAAAAAGGCAAGGTACCTGATAGTAAAAGACTATCCTTTAAAATTATCATTAGAATAGGGCTGGCAGAATCACCCATGAGTGATATATGACTTTACAACGTGATTGGTTCATAATTCTCAATAATAAAATCAGACTTTGTCGTTTGACCAATAAATTTACTGTGTTCAGTACATAACCATGATCTTGACCTCTTAGAAATAAGCTCATTTAAAATAGGTCTGTTTTGATCTGGCTGCTTGATTTGTCATCATGTAGTAATCTGGAAAAATGTGACCTTTCTTCTTTCAATAGGTACACATAGAAAAAGTTGTGATGAGTCTTTTCAGAAACTTGATTTCTAAAAGTTGTGCCAGTTTGGAATTTTAAAGTGCTCACATTAGACTGAAATATTTGTTTTACCATAATTCTGCTGATTGTAAGGCTTGCTGACATAAGAATTGTTATGGAATACTCATGAGCTGTACATGCACCATTTTCTGAAGTTTTGGCCTTACATTCAACTAATGTCACTATAGACCCAATTTGTAAACTGTTCAATTTCACTATCTGTTTGCATCATTTCTTCTTCTGCTTCAAGTAGGAGTTATTTCACCTCAATTTCAAGGTCTTTCATTATAAAACACAAAGATACTATGACCATTAAAGTCTCTTCAGAAACATTATATTGTCTAGCATTCTCAAGCAGGTCATTTTTTTCAAGGACAATAACCATCCTGGATAGGATTTAAAATAAAATTCTCCACATTTGATGACGTAGTAATGGTTGGGTGGCTTCACTGAAAATTTCTAAAATGTGAAACAATACCTTTGACTTAAAAATTCCAAAACAATGTGAATTGAAATTTCAAAAATAATTTTTTTCTGATGGGACTCCAATTTTCTATTATAACTCTATGGTCTCAAAATAAGTAATAGAAAAGAGTAAAAAGCAACAAGCATTGGAAAATCCAGCAAATAATTTATTCCCCTAGAATACTAGATGAAAGTAAAAAAATGAAATTTACAGTATTGCAAATTAAATCAACATTAATCCCAGAATTATATGCACAAGTTCTTATGATTACAGTTCTGAAAAAAATTAATTAGTAGAAGAAATCCAGATTAAATCTAGTGCTTAAAGTTGTGATGTGCCTGTGGTCAACCATGTAGTGGTGATGTGCCAACAGTCTTTGTTAATTCACAATAACACAATCCAAAAATTAAATTTACCATTTGAAATTTCACTATAAATTCAAGCCTCTTATTCCAAAAATGTTTTTTTTTTAGAATACTCTTTATTTCCATTGAAGAAATAATTTCAATTAATAAAATTCCAGCCCAGGTGAATTACTGGACATGACATTAATACCTTTGCTTTTGCTAAGATCCTGAAGCACAAGTGACAAATTTTCAGATAACGTTTAGATCAACAAGATCTATATTTTAAACTAAGATGTAATCAGAGACCCCGCAAAGAATGTGGCAATCAAAGCATGTGACAATAATCATGTAGTTTATATATAACAAAAATTAAATATCCTTCACTCAACTTGCCAATGAATTAGACAAGGTCATTTACAAGGTACATTGTTAAGTTACTCACATAATATAATTAAATAAGATAAATAATAATAAAATAGCTTGCAAACATTGTGAATTAAATATAGATAACATTCGTTTCTGTCCTTATTGAATGTGCTCAAGTTCATCATAAAATTAGTGTCACTGACACTTCCTACCAGTCTCCTACCTTCCGCTCAGTAGGATGACAAGGATGAAGTCTGGTCCTCTTACGAGGCAGTAAATGATATCTGCCATCCAACAATCCCAGCTTCTGCCTTAAGTCATATGTCACACGGTTCAGGAAAATCCGTTCCATTTTGGAAAAGATTTCAAGGGTGCAATATTTACCAGTCCTTTTAATTGATCCCCATTCCTCCATGATCTAGGAATTTTCTCAGCGGTTCGACCAGGAACCAGCTGTTTACTCCCTTTCTCAGTATTAAGATCTCAGTTTTCTTTGGTCAGTTACTATTTACATCCCTCAAAGTAGACTACTAAACCTTTCCAGTTGGATGCTTCTTTATCCACAGTGAAGCCGATTCATACCTCCCATCAAAAGAATTGAAGCCATCAAACTGAAAACCAGGTTACCCGACACCATAGCATCACACGATGACGTTGTCTCAGGCTAGTTTGATGAGTGTATTTTCCTTGAACTCGACTACCGTACAATTCAATTATGATGCTGTGGCCAAGACATTCAGACATGTTTTCTCTTGTAAAAGCAATATTGGTGGAATGTCTGCATATCCACCATGACATGCATTGGAATCAAAAGTTCCAGCTTAACCATAAATACAAAGGCCATCTATTGGTTGCTACATTTAAAGCCGATATTCTTTTTGGTGGACTCATCCTTAAATAGCTTCTCAAAATGTGCTGAATTATCAACATTTGTCATTTTTGAATACTCATAGCCAGATAGTGTGGAAATGCGAATCTCACTTATGGGCCGTCCGTCAGCGTTTTCAATTAGATGCAACCCAAGTCTAACACAACCTCAGGCTGAAAGTTTGGTTCACAGAAAATGGACACCCCAGACTCCCATGATGAAGTTTTTTAACTCACCCTTTGTCACTACTGAAGGACGGCGGTGACAGCCCTAGGGACCCTAAACTCTCTCCCTTTTCCAAGGCATCCTGGGTACCAGGAAAGAGCGCAAATTTTGAATCATAATCGATCTCTGAATTTTAAATTATTTTGTGTTAGAGAAACCTTCCAAGATGGAGATTAAATTACATTACAGAATGTATTTCATCCATCAGATTGATCGGTCTCCATTTAACTTCAGGATAACTATTCGTACATCTCAATTTTTTCCTCCTCACTGTAGATACCCACAAGTTTGCTAAGTCCAGAATGTTTGTCAGTTCTGTGTTGTACCATTCAGAACCTCTTCCACACACATAGTCTTCATTCATGTTAATGGGAATATTACCGGCATATATCCAATTAATTGGAACACTGAATGTACAGTATATCAATGATTGATTGATCCACAATATTCAGGTTTAATCCCTGTCAGAATTCGTTCCATTATTTGTCAACAGTAGTTTGGTTGGATATTTTACCCAACCTCATGAAATGGCAATTCATTTCATCTCAGGACTTCATTTACATGGGAATGAATTTCCTCATAAAGCAAAACTTAGTTCGGTTTCTACTGGATCACATAGATTGAATCCTGGAATTTCTAGAGGCACAAGAAGCCAAAACATTGTTATGTCCTATGCTTCAGCTGGATGCATTAAGTGTGTGCTAAGCTTGTACTGCTGTACTTTGTTCTTACATTCTTGGGTAATATTTTGCCAGCAGAATTCATTTATTCCCTCTTGTTATTAAATTGTCAAAATGAAACATCTGTTTAAAAATGGAAAAGAATAATATAATAAATGTTTCAAAGATATAAGCAGAGTAAAACATTACCAGTTGCTGCTATTGCATAGCACATTCTTCCTGGGACAGGAATTACCTTTGTCTGGATGATTAGAATTGATTGATTCATATGGTGACTTCTAGAAAGTCCCTGGAAGTGGGTCGTATTACTTGCACATGTTCAGTAACATTTTCTTTTATTATTACTAATACATATCCTGTTGCTATTGCAAAGCTTACTTATTTCTGGAAGGTAAATACCTTCAGCCGTGACCTTGACTTTATTATGATTAAAACATCTGTCTTATGGTTGTCTAAATTCATTTACAGTGGTCCCCCTCTTATGCAACCATTTCTTCTGCACTGGTAAAGTGGCTATATAAGACGGGTGGCCTTTCCCAGAGGGGGACGAAATTGTTTGTTAGAAGTATATGTATTGTACGTAGTAAGAAAGCTACATACTTCACAACAATTAATATCTTCATTTAATGTCTTTGTTTAAAAGTAACATTAATTATTAAAAGTTTCTTCTTGGTATAGCAATAGACTTATTTCGATTGAATATACATTCATAATTCTTATTCTTCTCGTTAGCGTGATATGCAAGCGGATTGTGTTGTCCTGCACATTGCAAAACCATTCAAACATGTGACTTAAATCTTGGTACATTTATAATTTTATTTCCATTTGCTCCACTCTTCCACTGCTGCAGAATAATATCTTTATTTACTGCTGTTTATTCAAGTCTTTTCAACAAACGATTGTTTTATTTAAGTCTTTTCTACATAAATTGTTTTACCGCTCCAGTGGTCTAGTGTTTAGAACATCCGCCTCGGATGCGGGAGGTCGTGGGTTCGGTCTCCAACGGAGATGTACAAAATAATTATAAAAATGGTACTAACGGCTGCCTCGGTAGGCACTCAGCATCAAGAGCTTAGTGTTAGAATTGGTCGGCCTGGTGTCAGGATAATATGACTAAGTGGGACATCATGATATATGTCTGCGACATGATGCTCTAATGGTAGACATCACTTTAAACTGCCAGACTGCAGACATCATGGCTATATGACTGACATATTGTTAAAGCTACGTTAAAAATCCAAACCACATACACACATATAAATTATTCGGCAAATCCTCCCTCCCCACCCCACCCGTTAGCGTCGAGTAGAATAATCGATTTTTTTTCTACATTAACATGTCTCTGTTTACATGATGACATGTTAATGTTTGGTAATGATTTGTACAGATGTTGATAAGGTATGTGATTTAATTATCCAGACGAATCTTTCACCGAGTGGACAAAAATGCCTTCGTAAATGAAGCGATACATGATTTTTCCGTCTTTTGTCTGGATAGCCTGTTTGTTCAAGGTTATTTTCTGTGTGTGTGTGTGTGTGTGTGTGTGTGTGTGTGTGTGTGTGTGTGTGTGTGTGTGTGTCAATGTACAAAATCGATTTTTAGCTTACGCTGACCTAGTTATGATCGTGACAATTACGTCTGGTTGTAACCATCGAAGAGAACTCGATAGATGTGTGAAGCCCAGAACTCTTTCATAACATTTTATAACAACTCTTTCATGCCCATTTCCTATAAACATCTTCTTTTATAGACAATGATATAATGTTAGTGCTACATGTGGTTTAGCCAACACTTCTTCCATTAATGGAAATTTGACATTGGGAAACACATATCTGATTATTCACCTTGCGTCTTGATATGAATGAATTATTGGTTTTGGATACATTTTAAAAACAAGGAGCCGCATGTGAGGGGAACATTTTACACTTTTGTACTAATATGCTGACTGCTGGTCGTGTTAGAAGTGTGGCCGTCCATGAGGGGCACTTTTGAGCACAAACTTGTAGGTGCCAAGGGATTCTGGCCGTAAGAAGTGGATGGCCACTGGTCGAGGGAATGGCTGCTGTTCAAGAAGGGGATTACAGTAATTGAGGTAGCATCTGCTTGGGTAAGGCCTTGCTAAAAAAATTTCATTGACTTTGTTCCTTGAAGATCTTGCCAGTTAATGCTTGAAAGAATCTTGTTATTGTTTTCTAAGTTTTCAATAATATTTCTATAGGTGTGGGCACAGTATATTTCCTCTGTGATACTCTCCCAACCTGCATAGCTTTAACAAATTGTAAAAGGACAGTTGCAATCTTTGGGACCCAAATTATGAACATACAAAGGGAGAAAGTAAAGTCCTTCCATTTCCCACAGCATAGGACTTGAAAAGTTTCTTCAAAGCTGTACGATGTTCATCAGGCTCCTCTCAAGAGAATAAATAAGCAAGCAAAGAATGAATCACACCCTCCATGAGGGAGAAGCAGCATCAACTTCAGTACTGTAAGACAGAGGTAGTCACACTCCCCAATAAAGTAGGAGCTGTACCATCAAATTACCTTCAGTTTGATATGGGCTTTGAATGAGATATGCTGTCTCATGAGTTAGGATCAATGCTCAATCACTCATAAAACCAAAACCTTATGTTGGTAATAGAATCAAGCCACCCAGATATTGGAAAACTATTATTCAAATCTATAAGATGAGAGAAAGGGTCATTGATCAGTAGCCATGTGCCAGTCACTGGGAACGGATTTGGTCACCAATTATTGGAGCCCTTTCAGTATGGTGATAGTGATCAGGTTAAGACTACAATCTCTCCAGTCTATCATTGAATCTGATTCTGGATTTGACATTGGCATGCATATGCCAGAATAAGGAAGGGAATTAGATCAGCTTTCCCTTAAACACCCCAGGAGAGTTCAGAATCACTCTTACCCATCTGCAGAGTATGCCAAATGGCACATCCTGACATCTTCACCACCCACAGGTCAGAGTAATAAGTTCACAAGCCCTTCCATCTGTTTTAATTACATGGGTAGAGAATGCTAACAGTATTATCTCTCCTGTTGTGTGTTCCTCTTCAGCCAAATGATGGTGCAAGACTAAAACTCACTTAAGTTATTCATGGACACTAACTTCAGTTTTCAAATCTTTCTCCTCAAGTAAAGTCCTCCGTGTGTTTATCTCAGTTTAATTTGTTTATGTTCAAGGAATACTTGTTTTTCCTTTTCCAGAAAGTTGCAGTAGAGAGAAGGTTCATTGCAGAGTCTCATAGCTTTCTTATTCCAGATTTTCCTGGTGCAAAATAAAAAGAAACATCGGGATATATTTTGACTAATTATCAACCTTCCTCTTTAAATAAGTGTCTGCAGGAGGAACATTTCATCTTTTGGGAGGAATATCAAAAGACCCTATTACCGGGTGGTCCTCGTCAATCTTCATGATGCATAACTATCTTTCCTCCTCACAGGATGTACCTCAAGATTTGGACCTGTAGGTCTCCCAGTTTATCGTTCTGTCATTTGTTTGAACCTCAACACCCAGAGCTTTTATCAGGGTCACGAAAGCAGTTTCTTTCAACTTCAAGTCACCTTTGATCCCTATCGGCTACGTTTTTTCACTATTGGTTGCACCACAATGACCAGTATAGTCCATCAGACTTATTTGTCTCAATGTAAGTTCCTAGTGACCATCTAATACCCTACCTAGAGAAATCAGAGCTTTCTCCATCTCTAGAGTTTTTTCATGTGATGGTGAATTTCTTCACAATAAGAGGAATATTCAGTGTCCTGCAGGACAGAGTAGACAAGTTAATGATCACATTGGAGTGTTGATAACCCAGACCATGTTACCAGCTTGTCTATTTTATCAGTTCTGGTTTTTTGAAACTTCACAGTGGCAAGGTTGAATGCATTTGTGCCCTCTCTAGTTTCTCTTAGTAAACCAGAAACTGTACTGGGATTATCTGGCTGTCGAGGTTTCTCAGTCTGGATTTACATTATTGTCATCTATTGTGAAATAATCCGGACCAGTTTCTGGATGTAGTCACCATGCATGCCACATAGTTCAACTTCTATCCTTTTGAAAATGCACTACACATCAACATTGAATAAAAAGCAGTTTTCTTTGTCCATCAGGGTGCAATGGCAAAACAAGTCATAGTGTGATTGTCTTAAATGACACCATCTTGGTGGTAGTAAAACTAACGTGACTAGAAAGCACACGTTCCCCTTTTCTTTGCATCGATGTATGGAACCTCCTTCACTGTGCAACTGCAGAAGGGATTACCCTCAGTAATCCCCACAAAAATAATAATTAAGTTGATTCTCTGTCCAGGATGGGCACGATCAGTCATCACGAAATGGTCTCTGCACCAATCATTAGCAAAATTTCAATTCGGACTTTGAGTCAGATCCTTGGTATTTATTTGCAACAAGCTAAACAACAGGCTTCCCTCTTACATTTCCCATACCAGAGAGTATGAGCAGTGGACACTTTCTGCCCAAAGGATATCAGAATGATAAAGCTCCCCATTACATGACCATATACATAAAATTCATGTGAAACTAAATACAAAAGGTTTTAACAAAAGTCACTTAAATGTACAAGGTATATTGGGAAAAATAGACCAGATTAAGTTAATGTTGTCTTCCAAGGAAAATAATATATGAGACAGGACCCACTAAAACAAACTTAAATGTTAACCACTATGATAATCTATTCCACTGTCAAGGCTTCAATAAACCGCAGGGACAGAGAGACAGCAGGAGGAGGTCTTGTTGTATACATTATAGAAGATGTAAATGCAGAAAGGCAACATGACTTGAAGAAAGAAGAATTTGCAAGCATTTGGGCTGCAATTTCCTACAATAATGCAAAATCTTTCCTGGATGGTTTCATTTATAGGCCACCTTCCTCCGAAATAATCTGGAATGATAACTTATTGAAAGAAATGGAAAATGTTCTTCCACAGGAGAAAAAAATAGGTACTGAGCGATGTAAAGACTTAATATGTGTTCAACTAAGAAACAACTGGATGGAATTTATTGAATCATTTGGCCGAGTCCAGGCTGGTAAATGAACCCACAAGGAAACCAAAAATACCAATCACTCTTATTGAACACATTTATACAAACCTACCAGATAATGAGGCTTGTGTTAGAGTACTGAATGTAGGTCTTAGTGACCACGATCCTACTTGTTTTACAAGAAAGGTTAAATTTAAGCAAAATAGGAAAAATGCACATAAAACTCTCACTTACTGATTCTTCAAAACTTTTATGGAAGGACAATTTCTGGATGATCTATGTAAAGATTCCATGCAATCTGATCCACATTTTAGATAACATAGATGAAGTTCTGAAGGTGTAGTCTGACTTATTTATGGATGTAGTCTCCAAGCATGCACCTCTGAAAGTTACACTGAGTAAAGAATGCAATCCAACCTAATTGGCCTATTACTGAAATATTAGATGTCATGAAAACACAAGACCAATTAAAGGCTAATGAAACCATGTACAATATAAAGTATGGAGAAATAAATAACAAATATGATCAAAAATTTTTTTATATAAAACATTATCAAAAATTGCTTGAAAACAAAAACACGAACTCTTTTTGAAAAGTTGTCAATGATCTTATTGGGAGGAACACACAACGAACAGACTGGTGATACAAATATTGCAAATGTTTAAAATGATTTTTTACCCACGTTACCACAAAGTTAAACAACCACTGATAGAAAACAACTTTAATGAACTGAAAAAGTTGTGCAGCTACCAGATTCATAATGACATATATTTATCCCACCAGTATTAAAGTGCTTTGCTAAGAATTGTCTCAGTGAACTTGATACTAAGAAAGCTACAGGACTTGATCAGATTGGTCCACGACTCATTAATCTTCTGTATAGCTATTTAGATGGCATAACATTCATAATCAATTTAAGTATTGCATCCTGATCTTTTCCCAAAATATGGAAAACTGCAAAAGTAATTCCTATTCACAAATCTGGTCCTAAGGATGATCCTG